AAAACCGAGGCAAGGGGAGTTTAAGGAATCTGCCAGAGGTCTCTCTCTGCCATAACACAAATACCACAAGTGGATGGTTTTAAAGAACAGAGTGTATTGTCTCACAGTTCCAGCAGATTGAGTCTGGCTCCAAGGGAGGGTCCCTTCCTGTCATTAGTCCCCGGAGTTCTTCACACTCTTCCCCCTGTGTGAGTCTGGGTCTAGTCTGTCGTGTTTTTGTTTTACTTTTTTTGAGACACCACTCAGAAGAGACTAAGTTTAGGATCCACCCTACACGGGCACAACAATTCCAGAAACCAGACCCACTGACCTTAAGTTGGTTCTGACGCACAACGCCTCTATAAGCCTTCGGGTTCCCAACACTGTCAATCTTTACGGAAGCAAACTGTCTTGCCTTGTTTTTCCTCCATAGTGGGGCTGGTGGGTTCATACCACTGGCCTTTTGATTAGCACCAGAGTGCTTAGCCATTGTGCCATCATTGTTCTTTACCAGTAATAGAAACCCTATTCCCAAACAGGCTCAGATTTACAGGTGCAGGGGTTAGGAATGCAACATAAATTTCGGGGAACATACCACAATTCAGTTCATAAACGTCACTCAAGTAGATAGTAACAAACCAGAGTTTTAACCTGGGCAGCTCAGCTCCCATGTCCATGTTAGACGGGGGCACAGGTGTGTACCTCTGAAAGTTTAACTGTGGTGGTCCAGTTAGATGAAGGGATTGGAGCCAAGCACCCCCCTCTCCTGTATCATGGGGAAGGCATATTTGGCAGACTAGATACCAGTGTCTCAGGAGACACCACAGCAATCCAGGAACCATACAAGAAGAACAGACTCATCATATACACTCAGCACATCCCCACCTCAGGGCCTTTGCATGTGCTGTTCCTCTGCCTGGGATATACTTCCTTCTTTCACTGAGTTAATAACTATTTACTGAGCATCTGCTAGACACCAGGTATGGCTACAGACACATACAGCCATGAACAAGAGAGACCATCTGCCTGTCATGCACAGCTCAGCTCAAATGCTGCATCCTCCTTGGGAGACTTCCCTGTGCCCTCACTGTAACCTCTCCCGGCTCCTGCCCCAAGCTCCCCATGTCCTCAGCACAGTCCCTGGCTGCATGATGCAGGAAGCCTTCCAGGAAGATAAGAGCCAAAGTCATAGCTGCAAGGATTGTATATGTGGCCCGCCCAGTCCTCTGCAATTTACAAGCCCATTCACAGGATGCCTTCAGAAATCTAGGAGGAAAACAATAAGGAACATTCCTCTGCTTAGGAGCACCACTTCCTAGCTGAAGTCCAAGAGCTTAAGAGATTTGACACAGAAAAACCAGTGATTCTCCCCAGCATCCCTCACTCCTGTAGGATGTCAACAGGTGATGCCTCATCTGGGGTACTAGCCACCATGTCCTCAGCCTTCCCCAGTCCCCAGTCCTTCAGTGCTAGATGAATCCCTCCTCCTCTCAGGCTCACACCTTTCCCTCTTGGCCAGGCCAGCATTTGCCTCTCCTCTCTTTGGAAGCCCAGTCTTCTGAGGGACCCCAGCACCCATTGTGCTGAGACAGAGATCCTGAGAGGGCAAGCTCATCATTCTTCCAGCTTCATCACCCATGGTTACAACCATCATTCATCTCACAAACACTTATAAGGCACCGACTATGCATCAGGCATTGTGTTAAATGCTGGAGATAGAGCTTTGAACCCCTCCCTCTTTTGTGAAGCTGGTGCTCTTGGGGGAGAGGGGTGGGTCAGGAGGAACCACAAATAAGCGAAGAAACAAGTGAATGAATAAGATGATTTTAACAAGTGACAACTGCCTCAGCTGGAGTCTTGGTATGGCGCTATAGGATAAGCACTGGACAGCGAGGTGAATTTGGATCGCAAGGTTGGCAGTTCAAACCCAATACAGTGTGGCTATGAGTTGGAACCAACTGGATAGCACTTAACAGCAACAACAAAGGTTCATCTCAGGATTCCTGATGGTGCGACAGTTTAGCGCTGGACTACTAACCAAAAGGTTCGTGGTTCAAACGCACCCAGGACAAAGACTTTGTGATCTGCCCTCATAAAGATTACAGACTACGGGGCAGTTCTAATCTGTCACACGGAGTCGCTATGAGTCACAACGCACTCAATGGAACCTAATAACAGCCTCATCTCAGACCCTGGAGGAAGAAGATGTGGACAAGTTGGTAGAGGAAGGTTCCTGGACACAGAACAGCAGTCTCTCTGACCCGAAGACAGGAGTACAGGCCGGTGACCCACCCAGGAGAAGATACTAAACTGGGGAGACACCTCTGACTAGCTCAGTCCAGTCCTGACCTTGTCGCCTCCATTTGGACATGATCCCACAGAGCCCACACTGTGCACTGGGAGGTGGGGGTGGGGGGCAGCCAGCAGAGATTTGGGAAGGGAATTCTGTCCTCTTTTTGATGTCACATTCTTCAAGGGTGTTGGGGGTGGGGAGGTGGGTAGGAGGGGGAGTTGGATTCCTGAAGTATTTTGCTCCTGACTCAGAAATCTCAGTTCTTGGGTATGGGTTAGAGGGTTAGAGGAGGGGAGAGGTGGGGAGAGGAAGGGAGAGAGCTTCATCTGGCCCTGGGCTGGGGGCTGCTCAGGATGGGGCCCTACCTGAAGAGAACGCTGCTAGTTCTGAAAGGAGTGGGGGAATTGCTAGAGATTACTGCTCTTTTGTTTTCTGCTTACTTCTTAGTCCCCAGCATCACATGCCCAAAGTAGAGAGATGGGAGCACGCAGACCCCCACCTGCCATCTCAGTGTTCTCTACCCAGGCCCCGCCCCTACAACAACCCAGAAGTCAGCAGTGCCTGGACTGTGAGGCTTCTCTCCGGGAAAGGTGGCAGACAGGGAAGGAGGAGTGGGTTGGCCTGAGAAAATCCCAGAAGGGATTCTGAATGCAGTTATCCACATCAGGCTAACTAATACTCCCACAGACAATGATCATGGTGGTCCACATTTACCGAGTGCTTACCATGTACCAAGCCTGGTGCTGGCACACAGCCCTTTGTTATTTAGTGGAATCCCCATCATTACCCTGAAAGAAAAATGCAGTTACCCTAAAAGATGCCAAGAGTACACGGAGTATTGTAATCATGGTTGTACAAATGTAGACACTAAGCTTCTATATCTCGGTCCCTCTCCATTCATGCCATTCCTCTTAATTTGCATGGCCTTCTGGGGGGAGGAGTGTTTGAAATACCACCGGAGATGCCCCACTTTGCAGAACACGTGCCCCCATCCACTGGGTTCAGCCTCCCAGCAACCCTGAAACCTGGATCACATCATGGCTTGCCTCATTTTACCATTTTACAGTTGGAAAAACCCCAAGACATGGCAGACAGGAAGTGGTGGAGTATGAGAAGAACCCAAGTGTCTGCAGCCTTAGCCCCTGGTTCTTTCCATGGAGAACTCTACCTGGGTGACCTTGCCACCCCTGCAGGCCATGAGGCTCACCTGGGACAGTCCTAGAGATCTCCAGGTCCCATGCCAGGGGGGTTGCAATAAAATCACTCCTTTATGTTTTTGTGTCCAGTTTGGTACCATGGGTTAGTAGCTGCTAACTGCAAGGCCGGCTGTTCAAACCCACCAGTCACTCTGAGGAAGAACAATCAGACTGTCTGCTCCCGTACAGATTTACAGCCTTGGAAACCCTAAGGAGCAGTTCCATTCTGTTCTACAGGATGGCTGTGAGTCAGAATTCACTCAATGGCTGAGGGTTTGGTGTTTTTAAGTCAAGTAAGCTTTGAATGATTAACCCATTTTCCATATGATGACCTTGAGGCTCAGAGGCTGATTCAGACACCTGGCATCAGAGATGGGTGAGGTCTCCCAAAGGAGACCCTCGTGAAGGGCCCACCACAGGCAACTGCAACTGCTGAAGAAGGCCACAGCCCTGGAAAAGTACCTGCTTTCCAGCTGATACAGGGCTCCCTGTCCTCCACCCCTGAGGACCGCCAGGAGGGCAAATCTCCACCCTCGATGACAGCTCACCAAGCCTAAGTAAGCCCAAACAGGGCCAGACAAAGCAAAAGTGCAACTCAGACTATTCTTCCATACCCCTTGTCACTGTCCCCATCTCACATAGGGACAACTGAGGTACAGCCAGCAAGATGAACTCACAACTGGCTACCAGAGCCCAGGTTCAATTCCACTTGTGAACTTTGACCTTGGACAAATCAAGGCAACCTATGAGAGAGCACCTTCCCCAAAGTAGGGACTGTCGAATGTGAGGGGGGTGGGCACCCAAGGCTAGCGAACGGGGTGGTAACAGAAAAGAATTGGGGAATGAGACGCCTCTATTTCAGACCCAAAGGGCTGAGGGAACAGGAAGAAAGGGCCTTGCTCTTTTTCTCTCTCTCCAAACCTACCCCCTTTTAAACACACAGGTGCCAGACAGCTTTTGCGCAAAAACTAGTTTGCAAACATACACCGACTTCTGGGAAGCTTCCCAGCTCCACTCCCCCTCTCTGCTTTCCCTTCCGGGGCTAGAAGTCGGCCTTTGGGCAGTCCCTTAAAGCAGGGATGTGGGGAGTAGGGAGCAAGGGAGGCGCAGAGAGGGATTGGAGCCTGCCAGAAGCTAGCCAGACCTCTCAACTCGTTAGCAGCTACGTTGGTGGGGGTGGGCACTCTATCTTCCAGACACCTTCCAAGCGTCTAGGAAGGCAAGGAGGGGTCCCTAAACGGCTGGGCACTGACCCTGGAGGGAGCCACTCTTCGCACACCCCGGCCACCCTTCCCCCCACAGTAGAGCCAAGCCAGAGCGCCCCCGTGTGGACGGGTCGAAGCTGAGTCACCAAAGAGCCGGAACCCGTGCGCGCGAGTGGCGGGGGTTGAGGCGTCGCAGCCCCCCTCCCCGAGAAAGAGCCCATTTTCTTCGGACCCGCCAATGGGGATGGAATCCAAACCCGAAGGCCAAACTTAATCACTTGCACTAGGGCGCCCCACCCGCCCCTTGCCTGTCCGGGCCCCACTCACCGCGGGTCCCACGGGCGCCTCCGCCCTCACCGCGCGGCTGCCGCTACCCGCGCTCCGGGCCGTGGGGGCATCCCCGGGCGCTCCGGGCTCGCGGGCGCGGGACGGACTCAGGGCGCTGCCCGCGCGGCCATGGCCCTTGCGTGCGCTCCCAACCGCTTGGGGTCCGGTTCTTTTCCCCGGCCGGGCGGGCTGGCGGGCGACGGCGAAGGCTCGGGCTCCTCCCTCCTTCCGAGGGGGGGCCGGGGTGGAGAGGCGAGGCGCGAGCTTCCTGGAGGGGCGAGCGCTCTCCACGCGGGCGGAGCGGGGCGCTGTCCCGCCCGCTGTCCGCCGCTCCGCGTCCGCTGCTGGCGCGCCTTGGCACTCTGGGCGACCAGTGCCGCGGGGACCCGCCTGAACCTCCGAGGCCTGAATTTCCGGGGCCCGAACTGTCGAGGTCGGAATCCTGAGGGCCTGGACGTTCGAGGCGGAACCCGGTGGATCGGTATGCCGCGAGTTCGCGCCCTCCAGGGACTGACTCTCCAGGCACCTCCCTGTTCTGAGCACTGCTCTCAGGGACTTGGACTTGGGAACTGAAGGGTGGGCTCAGCCCGGGCCTGCGAGATCCCTGGGCGCCACCAGCGACCGCGACCCCGAAGGCAGCTGAGCGCCGCGCTGAGTCCTTGGGTGTATACCACCGGACTTGGTTCTGGGCAGTTATTAAGCCGTACTCGGACTGCATTACTCCCTCCCCCCTCTCTTTTTTTCTTTATGCATTTTTCCCCCAATAGCAAAAGAGCTCGGTATTTTCTTGCCATCAGCGGATGGGAAGATGACACATCTGACAAAGATAACTACAGATCGTCAGAACGGGCCTCAGAGCTCATCATCGTGAGGACAGTTAGACGGGTTCTTGAGGCCCAGGAGCTTTCAGTGAAGGCCTCCTTCTCCCCAGAAGAGGCAACACTTCTTAAGTAATACGTCTGTCACTTGGCGCTCAGGCTACTGGCTACTCTGAGATATTCATGTGCCCAGAGCAAATTCACCTGGAAAGCTTCAGATAGCCAAGCATCATTTAACCAATATTGTAGGGTGGGGGAGCTGGTTAGCAGGGTTGCCCCATGGAGTCCACGGCTATTAATGCCTAGCTTGCTTCCACCTTCCCGGGTTTTTCACTCCGGGCAGGTGAGGGTTAACATGGGAGACTCACGTTGCAGCCTGCAAACCTCCTTCTCTGTGTGAGTCACCAGCACTTTGCAGTCTTAGAGGGGCAGCCACTCAGCAGCCCCGGGGCTCTGAGCTTTGTTCTCTGCCTGCCTGTCCTCCATTCATCCCGTCATTCTCCATGCTCTCCTCCTCGTTCATCCACCCAGATCCCTCAGCTGAGCTCTGAGGCATACCAATCTGTAGATGTACTAAGACGCAGCTCCAGCCTCACTTCCTCCAGAATTTCTCTTCTCTCCTTGTCCCAGCAGCAGGAGAGCCAGGCACAGGGACAGACAGCGGTGAACCCACACAGACAGCCTCTCTCCTCAAGTTGCGCACTTCGGAGGGGCAAGGTTGGAAGTAGGGTGGCCAGGAAGCACAGAAGACCCACTCAGTTGTGGCCGTCAGAGAAGTTTCTTATAGTATGGGGTGGTTGAACTGGCCCTGATATTAGATCACTAATCAAGAGGAACAGAGTAATAAGACTACAGGTCATAATATTCCATTCCTAGGTATCTACCCAAGAAAAATGAAAACATGCGTCTGCCCCCCAAAATTGTACATGAGTGTTCAGAGCAACATTATTCATAATAGCCCCAAAGTGGAAATAATGCAAATGTTCATCATCAAGTGATGCATGGTCTAACAAAATAATACCCATGTACTGGAGTATTATCCAGCCATAAAAAGGAATGAAGTACTGATGAACTCCCCAAACATTCTGCTGCGTGAAAGGAGTCACGCAAGACCACGTGCTGTATGATTCCATCTATATGAAATGTCCAGAATAGGTAAATTAAAAGAGGCAGAAAGCACATTAGTGGTTGACTTGTTAAGTGCCGTCGAGTCGGTTCCGACCCATAGCGACCCTGAACAGGGTTTCTAAAGCTGTAAATCTTTACGGGAGCAGAAAGCCTCCTCTTTCTCCCGCAGAGCAGCTGGTAGTTTCAAACTGCTGACCTTTTGGTTTGCAGCCCAATTCATAACCACTACATTACCAGACTTGTTGTTGTTATGTGCCGTGGAGTCGGAACCGACTCATAGCGACCCTGTACAGGGTTTCCGAGGGTGTAAATCTTTACGGGAGTAGAAAGCCTCATCTTTCTCCCGCGGAGCAGCTGGTAGTTTCGAACTGCTGACCTTGCGGTTCACAGCCCGAGTCGTAACCACTACGCTACCAGAGCGGTAATGTTAAAAGGGGAAGGGACTGTTACTGGTGATACGTTTCTAAATTAAATTATGATTATGGTTGCACAATTCTCTAGACATACTAAAAACCATCAAATGCACACTTTAAAGGGGTGAATAATATGGTTTTAAAATTATATCCAATAAAGTGTCATTTTAAAAGGTCAAGGGTCAGGAGAGCCCTGAGGTCGACTGATGAAGGCCAAGTGTCTGTCATGGGTTGAGTCTGTGTGCCCTCCATCCATATATAATGTTGCTCTTGTTGGTGATGGTGGCGTTGAGTCAGTTCTGACCCATAGCGATCCTGTGTAGGGTGTCTGAGGAGAAGCTGGTGAGCTTGAACCATTCACTGATTTTGTGGTTCAAACTGCCTCTGCAGTCTAACGCATTAACCCACAGCGCCACACCAGGATTCTCCATATACAATGCAAGGCTATTAATTGCAAAATGGCACCCTGGTGGTGATCTCTCTGTGCACACGTGGGAGGCCTGTATTTCCCTAAATGGACTCACATCTGGGTGTGTTTGGGTATCCACATCTGCCATCCGGATGCTTATTTTCATAGTCCAGGGTTGCCTGTGTATTTCAGTGCCCTAGTGAATTAACAAATTGGAGGTACTCCTACTGTGGACCACGTCCTGGCTGGTATATGGGCGGGCGGGGGCAGGGTTGTTCCAGCTATCTCTGATGCATAACCAATCTCCTGAAATCTTGTTTCTGGATCTCAGCGAGGACAATCAGCCTGGGGTTTCTCAGATAGTCAGACTGTGGCTGGGGCTGAAGTCATCTTGAAGACTTTCTCACAAATGTGTCTGGCGATTGATGTCGTTGATCAGCTGAGACTTCAATGGAATTATCTGGAACTCCTATTCATGAGCATTCTGTGTGGTCTGGTGGGCTTCCTTATAGGTTGGTGGCTGGATTTGGGGCATGAGCATCCCAAGAGAACCAAAGAGAAGCTTTATTTATCTTTTGTATGACCTAACCTTGGAAGTCCTGAAAACCACTTCCGTGTGGCCACAGGTTTGCTCAGATTGAAAGGAGAGATAGCAAACCCCTGTCTCTCAATGAGAGGTATGTCACTGGCACGCTATAAGAAGCACATGCGAGATGAGAGACCTTGTGGCCGTCTTTGGAAGATCTTCTAATCGAACACAGGGGGTTGATAAGGAGACAAATCAGGATGGAAACTTCACCTCAAGGATCTCTTGGCCAAAGGTGGGCTCTAATGACAATCTCAGGCATGGAGTCATGACCCTGGCTTGAATTCCAGTAATTGGCTGGGTGGGTGACGTCACTCCACCCCTGGAACTCTCTGTAAAATGGGAATAGCCTTAGTGCCTGCTCCTGGGCTGGTTGTGAGAATTCAGTGAGTTAGGCGCCAGGTTCCTGTAGACACTAGGGCATGACAGTGTGTGGTTGCTGCCATTTTAAAGTTCTAGAGTTGTAGTTACTATGATGCAGCCATGGACTACTACTAGGGTTAGGATGCCAGACCTCCCCAGCCCCTCCAGTCAGTCCCAGACATCTCCCTGCAGCCCTAAACCTGCCCTGGAATGTGTGTGTGTTGGGGACAATGTGTGGGAATATGACACAGAAGAAGAGACCGTATTTCTGGGCTCCAGGTCCTAATCAGGGGTTGGTCTTTGTTCTCTGAGCCTGCAATGTGTGGCCAGAGGGGGAGAGAGGCTCCCAGCTTGGGAGTTCCTTCAGTGAGGTGCTTGGGAGGTTGAAGGAAGACCAGCTGCCTCTGAAGTCCCCCAAACCACCCTTAAGGGGCACTTTACTCCACCAGCCACTGCCAAGGTTTCTCCTAGGACCTCAGGTTTTGCCAAGAGGGTGTGTCTGTTCCTCAGGACTGGCCTTAGCCATGCAGGGATGGGACCAGGGGCAGAAAAGGACCCAGAAAGGGGATGCCCGGCCTCCCTTCTTCCTGGGTATACCTCTTCTCTCTGAGTAACATAGACTTCAGGCCAGTTAAAACCCACCCTAAGGGCCTCTTTGCTTCTTGTCCATAATTGGAATCTGAGCCCTATGAAATACTTGCTGTGCGACCTTGGGCAAGTTTTGTTCCCTCTCTAGGTCTCGGTTTTCTCATCTGTAACATGGGTGAGATGGTTGCTGAGATGGTTGCTATGAACCTAGAGGTGGTTACAGAACGTGACACTCTACAGAAACAGGCAGGGCAGGTGACAGAATGCCTAACCCTCCTGTTGTTTATATTGTTGTTAAGTGCCGTCAAGTTGATTCCGATGCATAGTGATGCTGTATAGGGCTTCCAAGGCTCTATAAATCTTCGTGGGAGCAGAAAGTCTCATCTTTCGCCCATAGAGCAGCAAATAGACTTGAACCCCGGACCTCATGGTTCAAAGACCAGTAATTCTGGAGCCACTGTGCTCCAGAACCCTCCTGAGGAGTACTGAAATTAACCACAAGGTCATCTGTGCAGCGGAATAAAGTAGGTTCTTGTCTCTTACCTAATTTTGTGCATCCCTTAATTTACAGATGAAATTGGGGCAGCACATGAGGTGTTAAAAGTCCAGGCTGGATTCCTGGGTTCCCACTTACTACTACTGTGTGTCTTGGGGCAAGTCAGGAAACACTGTCTGGGTTTTGTTGTTAGGTGTCATGGAGTTGGTTACGACGCAGTGACCTGTGCACAATAGAAGGAAACACTGCCCGCTTCTACTCCATCTTCACAATTATTATTAAGCTTTAGCCCATTGCTGCTGCCACTGTGCCAGTCCATCTCATTGGGGGTCTTCTTCATTTTCACAGACCCTCCACTTTAACAGGCATGTTGTCCTTCTCCAGGAACTGGTCCCTCCTGTTGATATGTCTGAAGTATGAGAGATAAAGTC